TCTTGCGTTCATTATTGAGGCGACCGATTGGATCATGTCGCATATTAAGAGGGAAATAAGGTAGGCTGCGGCCTAGAAAATTTTCCGTGAGCATTTTGGCACGAGAGAAAAACGTTGCGGACATGCGTGCGGAGAAATAGGTGTTGCTGGTGCGTGGGCGTGGAACGAGTGTTGAAGGCTGATAACTGGTTTCAAGTTAAAGGCGGCCGAGGAGAGGGATCGGGGCCGTACCGCTATCGCTGCAAGAAGGCCAAAAACTGCGATAAGGGAAAGACAAGAAACCACAACGAGTACCTGTCAATTTGAGAGAGAGAACCCTGCAACTTTTGTCATTGGAACTCACTGTTATGCCATGCGCCTCCCAGGAGGTGTAATTGACCTGCAATATCATCTGGCCGCCGTCCGGCAGCGGCTGCGTTGTTTCCGACATGGGGACGAAGAGCGAGAAGGGGTCGGGGTGGATTGATGAGGGAGCGCTGCAGATAGATAACGGCTCTGGTGATCAGCATATCAGCATCGCGGCGACCACAGCCTTTGCGACAGTTCCTGGACAGTTATCATGATATTTGCTAATTTTGGAGGTGATTCAAAACTGGGTACCTGAAATTCCCACACCGTGAGACTGGCAGTCTAAAAATTTGACGAGACCTGCTCCCGACTTTGATTGATTCAGTTGATGGCAAGTTTCAAGATCTGGGAAAGTGAATGATGAACGGAAAAGTTCGTCGGTAGCAGGCCGCTATCATTGTCAGAAACTGGCAACACACGATTAGGACAGGACTGACAAGGATCAGATAATGCAAATTTTCATGGAAGGCTGGCCCACAACAGTCGATCTGACATTTTCAAGATGCAGAAGATATGGATATGCCGCCATTTGAGATCTGAGACCCGGCCGCCTGGGTAGGACGATATGTCGGAACTGGAATGCCACTTCCGGTTGCGGCACTTGAGGGGCCCGGAAAATTGTACAAGAAGGACAATCTACTTAAATGCGCTGCCATCTTGACCAACTTCGCCCAGAATATTAGTATCGACTGGGACGGGGAATTCTGTGTGATTTGAAAAGATAGTAAGTGGAGAGGTTGCAGTGGACAAAACAGAGTGGAGCAGGACTATTTCCCGGTGGTCTGACAACCCTCGAATTCCCTCCAGAGTCCATCTTGAGAGCGCGAAGTCCCGGCCTATACGTCCACAGTACAGCAAAACGAGGTTCGAGTTAAATTTATTGTAGCGTCTGTTTATGAGAGACTACGCGCCCAAGTCTCGGCGTCAGTTGCAGCATCAGATGTCCATGATCACCGGAAAACATTGGGACGCTCAGAAAACCAAGTACCGTATGAAAAAGCGGTAGGTCAGAGAAAAAATGGAGGGGTCTCGCCAAAAGGGGCGGTTTGGTCATGTCGAAACATGTTCGAATTGTTCTTGGATTATTCCAAAACCACTCTGTAGGACTCTCCGACGTGCCGCTCCGTTCCAACCATAACAATCCAGTTTAACCCGAGACGCGGGCAAATTTGTTTTAGTCCCCAGAAAGGGTTTGATGAGGCTCATAGTCAGCAGTAGATACATACGAGGATGTTTGTGGACCGGTTCAATCCAGAAGAGAGTTGAGTTTGATGTTGGTTTCATGACCATGGGGAATAAATCACTGGGAGGTGCAGTAGGACAGAAAAACGGCTTGGGTACCGATGAATCAAGTGGGTCCAGGAAATATGGCGAGCTTTAAAGACGCAGAGCTCTCCCAACTTGGGCTCCGAAAATTGTTGGGGTAATATGTGCCGGCAATTAGAAGCTAATTTCCGACCATGTGTAACAATTTTTGAGGTTGAACAGCTCTTGATGCACTACAATGTCGACGTCGACGGGAATTTGGATGTAAATAAACATGTCTGAAGCTGTGTACCCACCGAAACAGATCTTAATCGAATTGTATTTTTGTGAGAGGTTGAAGATCGTACAATTAGCACGGTACGACGTTTGAACGGAACTGACGCTCAACAACTTGATGCGCCCATGCAAGAGGTGAGCGATCTTCGGATCTTGGGATTTGATGTGGCCATGTCCATCACTTGATGGATTGCCGTGAAATCTCGTAAACACTCCGCCCACAAGCCTACGACTCAGTGTTTTCTTCCTTTTGTCTCGCCCACTCTGCACGCTCGCTGAGATGTACAATTATCATCCTAAATCAAGTCCCTCACTGAATCCCCGCTCTCAAGAAATTGTGGCTCATTATTATGTGCAGTGCCAGCCGAGTTTGCAGTCAAAGAGGTATGTGCATTATTTACTGGAAAGAGCCCATGTTTTTTCCAGAGTTCGCGCTGTGGGTTTGCGCGAAGGACTTGCGTTTGGGACGCGCCGCGACACGTCGACGCCAATCACCGCTGTTTGTCCTGCCAAACACTTTCCTTTTTCGGGGGGTAGGTAGGGTCGTGGGAATGTTTGCCAAGATCCGAAGATCGCTCACCTCTTGCTTGGAATTATCCCCGGGGTTGGACTCAAGAAGCAGTGCCAGTCACGTGTCACTCAGGACTGCTACATATTAGCATGCCATCGTATCGTCGACTACAGCAGTATGCATTGGCCATCAGCGTTCTGAGCATACTCTACAACGGCGCAGAAGGAGGAGTCTCGATTGGATTGGGAGCTGAAGCATCGTCGCGTTCGTTGGTCTTCTTTGGTGCCCAGTCCGCAATCGAGGTCATCTCTGCCTGCATCGTCGTCTGGCGCTTCAGTTCCGTCGCCAAACCCGGTGAGGAGCGAGCCCGCACGCTTTCACCCAGAGAGCTCAAGTACGCCTGCCTTGGATCGCTATTGCGCCGCTCATTTGAACGAATCTAGAATCGAAAAATACGCCTCAGGCAGCATCGGCACGCTGCTCCTGTGCCTCGCACTCCTCACCGAGGCAATAGCCATCCCGGGGCTCGTCAAGCACGATCAACCAGACTCCTCCAATGCTTCGCTCGTCATCTCAGCGTCGGCACTCGTTATCATGGTGTTCATCTGGCTCCCCAAGCGCTACCTCGCCCGGGAACTCAACAGCAGCGTCATGCAAGGCGAGGCGACTTGCTCCCTCTCGTGCATCCAGATCACCTGCGTCCTCTTCGGTGGCTCCCTCGTGTTCAGACTGTGGAAGGCGGGGTGGTGGGTGGACGGTGTGATCTCGCTGGTGTTGGGGCTGCTATTCGCCAAGCAGGGGTACGAGATGATCCAGTGGGTCCGCGATCCGGAGTTCGATGGCGGGTGCTGCAAGACATGCAAGACGGACGGAAGGCCGGAGGCGGCGGAGATGGGGGAGCGGTATCGCGATCTGTGCGACTGTTGCGCAGAGAAACCCGAGTGCGCGGCGGCCGACGACTGCCAATGCCCCACCAACGCTGAGGTATTACGTGTCTGGCCTCAGATTCAAGTCTGACTAGTGCTTATTTTCAGCGCACATGCTGCGCACCCCGCGCGGACCAGGAAAAGTGCTGCACACATAAGATGATCTCAGCCGTAAGCGCATCATCTTATCTCCCCTTCTGTCTGACACCGTGCTGGCTCATTCCCCAGAATCCCCGTGTGGAGATTGCCAATACCAACGCCGCCCCGGACGCTTGCTGCCTCGAAGGCAATTCAAACTGCTGCGCAATAGGGCGAGTAAGCTATTCGTTCCATCTCTGCTCCGTCTCCCGATCTGAAACTCCCTCGTGCGTAGGATAGTGCGGAAAACGCAACGGTCTCGGGGCCGGGGCCGGTGCTGGTAAGTCGCTTCCATTCCATCCATCTTTGTGTCCCGTTCTCTGTGCTGTGCTGATTATCCCAATCACTGGGCAGCCCTCAAATCCTGGGGCGGAGATTGTCAACGAGGATTGCGCGCAGGATGCCTGCTGCTGAGAAATAGAGACCGACACCGACGAGACCACTCCCTCGGAGTCTCCGTGCGCTGACGCCTGCTGCCGGTGAAATCACTGCATCCCATGTGAGGACTTTTTTGTACCCATGCTCAAGGATAACTACGGATCCATTTGTCTCGACTCATTCTCTGCCAGTTCTTCGCCAGTCTGTCACAGTCTATCTTTCATTTCTTTGTCTGGCGCCGAGGTCTCCACCCGTAGCAAACTCCGAATTCGACATGTTGCCAATCGTGTATATAAGATACTTGTCCGATACCTCCCCCGCGGGGCCTTATTTCGCTGAAAATCAAGCGGGTCCCCTCAAATTCTTTCATCCTTACCCGACTTTTGGCCCAGAGAAATGAAGGCGGCAACGGACACGGTGCGATTATCGCTCGCGCGAATTCCGAATCTCAAGAACCCTTGTTCGACTCGAGGCGCCGCCGTAGCCGACCAACCCCTTTCCCTTCATGCAGCGCCGACGAAAACATGGACCCCCAGCCAGAAACGGTTCCCGCTTGTGTCGTGGTGCTGCCCTCGCCACTATTTCTTCTTTCCCGTAGCCGAAGAATCTCTGGTTAAGTTGTATCCCCTCTTCTTCGGCATTTTTAAACTCAATCTCACTTCCGAGTATCCCGAGATCCTTGTTCGGCTCAAAATGCAGCCATGGGAAGTCGCGCTAAGTGTTTTAAAGAAGACAAGGAAGGCAGCCACTTGGTGTAACCAATTTGAAGTGCCAGAGGGCTTGGGAATCCCGAGATCCACGTTCGATTCGAGGTGCTGCCATGATCATGATCTCCCATTTTCCTCGGTGTCCATGAATCTTTGCTCGGATCCCCGGTGCTATCCACAGTAAAATCCATCTGTAAATTTTTTAGTAACCCTTGCGCCAGTTGAAAGGCCAGAACATGCAAGACTTTAATCCCATCACTCGTCTTTTTGAAAGGTTCCCTTCATCGTAACCAAGGCTTTCTCTTGGCTTGTAGCCTACTGATATATGTTCGATTGCCGGAATATTCCGCGGGCAAAGGGGGAGAAAAAAAAAAGGGTAAATCCAGCCATGGTGGGGCACACAGAGCGCGGATAGACAGAACATGGCAAAAAAACCATGAATCTCAAAGAAGGTCGTGCCCGGAATCGAACCGGGGTTGCCAGAAATCCAAGATCCACATCAGAATCTGGAGTGATAACCGCTACACTACACAACCAATTGACGCGAACTTCTCCTGATTGGACCTGGCGTCCGGCACTGGCCAAAAACAATTGATGTTGCCTTTCAGACGACGACGATCCTGCTTAACCGTACTTATGAAGGGGGGGAGGGGATAGAACGAGATAGCAAGGCACACAATGCTGGCAGGATGCGCGTCTGACCCACATGGACAAAACGTGGAAGATGTGAAAGTAACTGTGTCAATATATACGCCGTTTCGAACTCAGGGTGCTGTCATTTGGTTCGTTGCTCTTCTCTTTTTCTCTGTTATCGTTATCGTCTGCTGCCAGACATCATTTCAGTGAAAGCATCAAAAGAAAGAACTGTATTAGTGATCGCACCTCGGAAGTATGTAGAAAGGCAGTACGGCGCACGGTGCGCAGCGGGTCCAGTCAAGTTTCAATATTGTCCGCGGTTATCTCGCAATTCTCGTTCGACTCGCGGTACTGCCATTCCTCTTTCCTTCTGTCAGTTTTTTCAAGACCGATTTGCTTCAGTAACGAGTCCGGAGTGCAGGCTGCTTTCCACCGTGCTTATTGAAGATATGAAAGATGTGAAACAAGGCAGCAAGGCGCACGGTGCACATCTGGCCCAGATATCCTGGTCTCCATTTCGATATATCCGGGATCCTCGTTTGACTCGAGGTGCTGCCACTACGCGTTGTCTCGGGCATTTTTGTTTCTGTTTCTCGTTCGATGTCGACGTCCAAGTACCGTGAATGGTCCTTAGACTATGGACAGGGCTCCACCGAAGAAATGGAGGTTCCCCTCAGATCGGAGCCAGAGTCTGATTTAACCAAGCTTTTAGTTTACATAGCTATCCAAGGTACAAGAGAGGTAAAGCAAGGCAGCAAGGCACACGGTGCGCATCCGAGCCAAATATGGTGGGTCTACCTCTCTATCCGGAGTTCTCGTTCGATTCGAGGTGCTGCCATTACGCGGTGTTTCGGGTATTTTTGTTTTTGTTCGGTGTCGACGTCCAAGTTCCTTAAATAATCCTTGAACTATGTGGGAGCAGAAGAAATGGAGGCCCAACCCCAGTCTCTTATAAACTGACGCTATAACAGTTGAATCTCGTACCTCGGTTGGTTATAGTCCAACCCGGGAAAGCAGCCGGAGTCTGATTCAACCGAGCTTTGGTTCTTGTGTCTGAAGTGCAATGGAAGGAAACGAAAGGCAGCAAGGCGCACGGTGCGCACCCCACTTAAATGCGAGTCGATTTATACATATCCGAGATCCTCGTTTGACTCGAGGTGCTGCCATTCTATTTCTGTTTTTTTTGGCTCTTGTTTCTCATTCGGTTTCCTCGTATGCTCGACGTCCAAGTGCCTTGACTAGTCCTCGAACTATCTACAGGGGAAGAAAGGGAGGTTCAACCCAGATTAATCGTAGCCGAAATATGATCCAACCGAACTTTTGGTCTAGATTCTGCACTCGATACTTTCTAGGGCATCAAGCTGTGAAGGTGTAACCATTCAGAGAGGTCCAGGAGTCTGAAGAAATTGAAATCATCCTCTGAAGTGACTATAATTTTCCGTTACTGACTAGCTCGAGGATCAAGATAGAAAAATACCGCAAAGAATGCCTTCCAATCCTCTTATAACGTTGTCCCTATTTCTGTTACCCAGCGCTCAATGGTACAGAAAGAAGGATGCGTAGGGCCGGTGCTCGATGGTGGACATACTCGAGCAGTCGGCCAAACTCGGGTCTTTCATAGCCTCTGTTACAGAACCGATATACAGATGATGATCAAGATGTATCTGTATAGGTCTTTCAATCTCCTGAAACGGTTCATCGCAACCAACCAACCACTCGACGAGCCATTTCTCAAATTCTGCCTGATCCCAGTTACCTTGAACACTCTCAGTTTGACGCTCGAAGAAGCAAAGATAGACTCACGAGGTTCTTTTCACTTGAGTAGAATTACTTATACAGCCGTATACGGCCGTAAACATACGGCTTCATACGGTTCTGCTTACAACCCCCACCCGTAACCGTATAATGAGCCCCAGAATGCCTTACGGTGCGGTACGGCACAGCCGTATAACCGCAACCGTAAACCGTATTGTACGGTTACGGTGGGAATCCCTAAAGTTACCCACTGGGCACCGGGCATTCATATACTCAAATGTACAAGTGGGTCGGCGAATCCTTGTAGCAATTAGCCGGGAACTGAAGCCAATTCGTGTCTCAAACTAGAGCATAATGTAACTGATTATCGCTCCTATGAGCGCGGAGCTGAGGAGGGTCCATGGTCCCAGTGTGGCACTATTGCTCCCCCCAGTTGCACCCGCACCGGCGCCAGAAGTGGTTCCAGAGCCAGTAATAGCAGAGGATGTACCCGAATTACTGGCAGAGGAGGCACCCGAAGTACCTGATGAGCTAGTGTGGATCGGAAACACCCAGCGTCAGTGAAGCATCAAAATAACGAAGGCTGGCGCGGCGTACTTGGAGAAAACAGCGATGTACTTAATCTCCCAGTATGCATCAACGTAGTAGGTCGGCGTGACGATGAGATCGGTACATGACTTGGCCACCTGGCTGCAGGTCTGGCTGAAGACGTCGCGGGCAAAGTCGCCGCACACATTGGTTTCCTGTACATCAGGGGTTTGAATTCGTGAGACGAGTATTATACGCGAGTGTGATGTGAGATGAGGAGCTTACGAGGATCAGTGTCTGGGCCCAAAGAAGTGCGCGGTGTCGCAGGACGATTGGGGCCAGAACGCTGAGGGCGCGCCCCACCCGCTCGGGTTGGGACTGGCAGTGGCCATATCGGGTGGGACGGCGCTGCGCGTGAAGAACCAGACCCTGATACCCTCTGAGTCCCACAGCGTCGCGAACACGCCGCCCCCGTTCTTCGCGAACTTGGCGCCGTAGCTGAGGTCGTTTTCCGCCACGAGGCAGCCCTCGTTGTTCGCTTGGCCCGTGGCATTGACAAAGCAACTCGTCGTGAGGCTGTTGCCTGTCTCATTCACCTGGCCCTTGGCGGGGTGAGCGCAGCCGTCGAGTGTGTGCAGCGAGTACTGGTTGTTGGTGGCGAGGTTGACGTTCTCGATGATATCGATCTCGCCTTCGCTGGGCCAGGGTGCGCCGAGGCCTATCATCCAAAAACCGGGCCACACGGAGCACTAGAACAAAGGCTCGTCAGTGAAGACTGCATTGACACCGTTGAACTCGCTTACTCCGAACGGAATATGGACCGCGTCCATGATGACCAGGCTCCCAGCAGTTACGGTGTCTTTTGAGGACATGAGTACCGTATTGCGGCCATAGGTCCCGTTCGGCTGGGCACTCGTGAAGTCGTCGACTTTAATAACCACGTTACCAGCCACATTCACGGAGGTGAGGTTTTGCTGCCGTGCAAAAGCCTGGTCGGTAAAGTTGACGTTGCCTGCGGAGGAGTGAGAACTCGCGAGTCCCAGGCCCTTTATAGCTTTAAGAGCTTACCATTGGTTCCCTGCCCTCCAGTTAGGCCGTGTGCGTCGTTGCCGACCTTGAAATTCCAGGGATCGAAACTACGAATGTTCTGGATCAGCGTCTTGATTATAGAGCTTTATGCAGACCATACAAGCCTTGTCCACTATAATTTCGGGCCAGTTGGAGCTGCTGGGCCAGGGAAAGTTGGATGAGTGATGCGACGAGTAAGAGCAACATCGCGAAAGAATGAAAAAGTGCCGCAGTCGTGGTGAGAAGGAACAACCTAGTAAGTATGTCCTCCGACTCGCCTTTTCAATCCTGTTTAGCGCTGGCATCAGTAATCCCGCCGTATTAGCCGTATTTAGCCATATTTAGCCGTAGGCCGCCTTTCGGCGACGTTGAACCCTCGAGGCTCGCTACTGTCCAACCCAATTTACATAGTATGGACCTGGCTCATATCTACTGCGAGTCACTTGTATTCTGCGGGTCTCCAATTATGTTCACCACCCGCTGCCGCATGTGCTCATGCTAACGCGTCCACCGCCACGTCACACGCAGTCTGCTAGCAGCTTGCCGACATTCCATCTGTTCTTTCGCTCGATAACACCTCGCGCAATTCCAGCAATCTCCTGATTTAATACGTGTACAGCCGAGCAATTTATTATCCTGAGTCTTATCCGGGATAGTTCCTGGAAACCGGCGTTTATGCCACTTCATGGGTCGGACCGTGCCGTGTAATTATAAAATCCCGCTATGATCGCTGCCGTTCAGCTCCGCTCACTGTTCGCACTGTTCGCCAAGCCCTGCCAACCGTTGGCGTCTCCAACTCGGCCACGGCTTGCACATAGCAGCTCAAGTTACCTCGCTTCCTACCAAATGATTAGCAATGCTCCCGAACCATCAGTAGCTCTTTGTCATAGCCCGAGGAACTTACCAATGCTTAGAGATCAACTCAAATCATATATGACAAGTTCGCGAGTATGCGGATCTTTTGTTGTAGGGTCTGTCGAATCGAACAGCTCTCCGTCCCAAGTTTATGCGCCTTTGAAATTTCCCTGGATACAAAAAATCCAATCTCACCAGGCACGGCCCAGCCCCGAATTGAACGAGGTTTCTTGATTATCACCCGTACCGATGTTCTTTGGTTTTGGATCTACCTCTCTCACCAGCTGCACACTCTCTGTGTAAACAAAAAAATTGTATTGCTCCTTTCAAAGATGTCCTGCCAGATTCTACCCTTGCAAGCGGGCCAAAAAATGATGCTCGTGGAGCTCAGGTATTCAGTCTATTTAATCTCCGCTGTTGTAGGAATAAACACATATCAAAACATTCTGCTTTTGGTCCTCCGTCTAAGCGAAAATTTAATTTTGCTCTCGAGAATGTGCTGCTGGCCGCAGTGGTTGGCTCATATAAATACGGCGTATACGCTGATACGGACGGCGTCCGTATCGTTTGAGCTGTGAGAAATGGTCCTGACGTACGGAACCGACTCACCGTAAAGAAAATACGGCGTCAGCGTAATAAGTACGGTTTGATGCCCTAGAACTTTCCGCCTCCGCTCTACTTCCCTTTTGGGATG